GTCTCTTGTAGACAACATATTGATGGATTTTGGCTTTTTATCCAGTCTGCTACTCTTTTTCTCTTCAGCAGTGTGTTTAAACCATTTACTTTCAGTGTGATTATTGAGAGGCAAGGTTTTATTGCTATCATTGTGTTCAGTTCTTTTTGGTGGTGTTGCTAGTTGCTTTGGTCCATGATACTTTCTGTGGTATCTCTGTAAGAAGGACATCTCTGAGTCTTTCCTGCAATGCTGGTCTTGTTTTTACAAACTCTCGTAGGTTCTGCTTTTCTGGGAATATCTTGATCTCTCCTTCATATTTGATGGATAATTTGCTGGGTACAGTATTCTTGGTTAACAGTTGTGTTCTTTGAGTGTTTGATTTATATCCTTCCACTCTCTTCTTGCTTACATGGTTTCTTTTGAGAAATCGGCACTTAATCTTTTCTGCTCTCCCTTATAGGTTACTCTTTGTTTCTCCCTTGCTGCTTTCTGAATTCTCTCCTTATCTTTGGTTCTGGCAAATTTAACTATGATATGCCTTGATGTTTTTCTTTTGGGGTCTAGTCTATATGGTGTTCGCTGAGCTTCTTGTATATATATTCTCTCATTCTTCATTATGCCTGGGAAATTTTCTTCTTGTAATTTTTCCACAACTTCTTCAGTGCCTTTACTTGCTTCTTCCTGTTCTGGGATTCCAGTGATGTGCTTGTTATTTCTCTTGATGGTGTCCCACATTATTCTTAGGTTTTCTCCTTTTTCCTTCCTTTTTGAGTCTGCTTTTTGCTCTAGCAGATCAGTGGTGACAATTTTGTCTTCTATTTCACTGATTCTGTGTTCCATCTCTTCAACTCTGCTTATGTGTCCCTCCATCATGTTGACAGCATCTGAAACATTGGATGTCATATTTTGGATAGTGGTTTCTTGTTTTTCCAGTGCCACTAATGCCTCGTTTGTTTTCTTTACATTGTTCTGGACTGGTTTTTTTTTTAGTTCCTAGATTTTGCTTGTAGTATCTTGTAATTCTTCGAGTTTGTCTTTCATCCATTGAAAATATTCAATCATTGTTCTTTTAAATTCTGTGTTAGAAAGTTCCATCAGACTTTCTGGCTTCAGGAAATCGGTTGATACGTGTTACCCTTTGGGGGTGACATCTTGCTTTGTGCTTGTGTATTATGTGCGACAGCTTGCTTTCTTCAAGACATTGATATGTTCTTGATCTGAAGATAATGCTCTAGAGATCATTTGGGTAGCTATCCCACTTGTGTTTTTCTCTGAACGTCTGACTCCCAGGAAATGTCAGTTCAGAGCCTGTGAGAGTGGCCTCTTGTAGGTAAGACAGGTCAAGGTGCTCCAGATTAAAGGTAGGTTGATTAACCAGACGTGTAGACACAGGTGTGTAGCCAGATGGGGTGGGGTATGCACGTAGTTGGGGTGATCACAAGGGTAGTTCAACCACTTGGGGGACCTCACTCAGTCCTCAGTTGTTTGGGTGTGCTTACAATTGGGGTCCCTATTCAAATTCCAGCTGTCCTTCTCCCACCCAGTGGTTTTCATTCACTGGTGCCTATCCAGTGGTGCTCATGCAGTTGCTCTTGCACAGTGGCCCCTGCCCAGGAAGGGTCCTGGGTCCAAGGGGACTCAACAAGACAAAGTCAAATTCCCACCACCCCACTCGCCTCTGGCTGGTTTGCAGTGTCCACAAAAGTTCAGCCAAACTATCACTGGCCCACTCGTTCCTGGGCAGTTGGCGTGGCCTGAGAGAGCTCAGCCAAATTCCCAGCAGTGGGCTCACCTTTGGGTACTCTCCCAGACAATTGGTGGTTCCCAAGAAAACCCAGTTAGGATCCTGCCAGCCTTTCTCGTGGCAGATCAGTCCCACAGCAGCTCAGTTGGTGGCTTAAGACGATGGCTGGATTCGCGGTGTGCCTTTGTGTGCTGACTCTGGATCGTACTGTCCACGGCTGTTGGTAGGTCTCTGTGCTGCATGAAGGAGTCTCTAGTGGTCCTGGAGCACTGCCAGGGGTGCAGGGTTGTGGCAAGGCCATTAGGGTGTGCTAGAAGTGTGGGGGCGCGGGATGGTGGTGGGGTGGTGTCCCTGGACACGGTGCTGTGGCGGGGGTGGGGGTGCAGGGCTTGGGCAGTTCTGGGAGTTAGGGGTTGCAGTCTGTTCCCAGATATTAAGCTGCCAAGTCACCAGTCTTCAGCAAATAAGACTTTGTGCACCATTGCCCTTGTGCGCCATCACCCTTGTGCCCATCCCAGCTCTTGAGCTTTGAACTTCTATGGTCATATCCCTAACAATCTTCTAATACAGTGACTTATGGAGAATCCGGCTTCTTTCTGTGGTTGCCTCCCAGGTGAAGACTAATAGAGTTTGAATCCATGGTGCCAAGAACCTGGACATAGTAAGAGCCTCCTGTAATGTGTTGAATTATTGACTTAGAGTTGCTTCTGCACACCATGCATTAGAGGCTGAGACCTGTGTTCTACAATTATGCCATAAATGTATGAGATTTTTTTTTTGTAATACAGGAATCTATTAAATTTTACGTGTAAGCTGTAACACTTGGGATGATGGCATAAAAATGTGCATGTGATAAAATGTAAGGGTTATGGGCCTATCATTTGGTATCCAGAACAGCCTTGGAGTCTGAACTTAATTTTAGGTAATTCCTTGGAAAAAAATTATTCTATTGAAACCCAGTCACGTCCTGAAGGCAACCACAGATAATTATGCTGATAAAACATTTCTGTAATATTTTTGCTTAATAGAAAAAGTAATTTTTAAAATTCTTTATTTCATTCTTTATTTTCTTATTAGAAAGTGACTGTATTTTGTTAACCTGAATACGTCATATTGCAGCTGGGAACTTGGAACTTGCTTTGACTCTGGAATATTCTTTACCTTTTTTTTTTCTCTTTGTAAAATCCTAGAGTTTTAATGGCTGCTTTTCTCTTCTAATTTTACTTATCTCCAATACTTTCCCCACCTCTCTACCTTTTTTTGCAGCACTACCCTCTGTTTCACATTCTTATTTCCCATAGAACATAGTGAAATATAAACAAGAGAAACTAACCATTTGCCAACATTTATTGCCATGAAGACTCTTCTGTATTTCATTGAGCTGCCAGGTGACTTTCTAGCTTTTACCAAAGCATTCAGGATTGAGGATGATTTATGTGAGGTCAACATGAGTGATATTCTAAAGGTGCCAAGCAAGATATCCATTTGGTACAAACTGCCTACAGGAAACTGTGCTGCTTAACCCACATTGCTTTATAGAACTCTGAAAGAGGTTTTGTATCCCTTAACTTTGGAGTGAACTTTTTCTAGAAAATGAAATTCATTCTAATTACACAAATATGGGTGAATCTTTCTTATCTTGGGGCTGATTAGGGATTTGGATCTCATGGGTTGCATGTATATCTGGTCATTTGTCCCACCTGCCCATCAACCTATCCATTCATTCTTTAGATCTCTCTAAAAGTACAATCCCTCTCTGATTCATCTTAATAATTCCTTGCAGCATCTTCAGAGATACTTGTCTCAGGAGCCAAATAACTTCCCTGGATAGTGATTAAAGAGCTTATTTCTCTCAGCACCATTGTGTATATCTCAGGGGTGATGGTGGGAATGGAGTTGGAGGGACCTGACAATAAAGGACTCATCTCTAGGGTGGGCAGCAGAAGGGAACTCTAGACCTCATGGAATTCCAAGTTTTTCAACCTCTTTGAAACCCCATACCAGTGATGGGCAAGGCTGACATGTGGTCAGCATTTAACCATTTTTTTTCTCTCGTGTGTTTGTGTGTGCATTTGACTCTACAGGTCAGTTTTTGGGTTGTAAGAGAAATTCTCACAGCACAGACGTTAAAAATAAGGGCAGAAATCCTGAGCCATTTTGTGAAAATAGCCAAGGTAAGTGTTTTTATTTTTCCCCCCATTCTTCTGTCCTATTCCTTATGTTGTCCCCTGTTTTGATTTTTTTTTCCCATGTGTTTTCTTAGTACTTTGGGTCTCCTCATGTAGGGGCTGCTCTGCTCCGAATCTGCCAGGAAGGACTCTAGAAGGGAGGATGTGACCTGACTTCCTTGAGCGGAACCAGCTATGAGAGCCGCCTAGCTTCCCACCCAACCCCCATGCTTTGGCAGCATGTCACATTGCTCCATAATTTAGACAACAAACCCTCTCTATACCTGAACAGTCATAGAATCTCCATGAAATCCCAGCAGCTACCACTTGAATTTATCCATCATCCTTCACATTTAGCCAGAACCAGAAGTTGGTGGATTTTAGTTAGAATTGTTGGCAATAATATCATATCCTGCACAATTTTTCAGCAATCGACGGAATCTATTCCTTAGCCCTTTCTCATCCAGAGCTGGGCCAAATGACCCATGCTGCTGTACCCACTTCTGCCTTCTTCCATTCACCAGATGGTATAGATTCTGTCTCTGCCAGTACCAGGCTCACATGTATATTGGACTGTTTCCCTCCTTCTTTTCTCATCCCTGCTGGTTTAGCCTGTGTTTTTCCTTGGGGCCTTCCGGCTCTTCCCCTTACTTTTTTCCACTGACTTGTGACAGCATTGCTCTGTCTGTATGCTGTTTGCTTTGTGTATGTGTGCATTGTTCTCCTACCTGAGTCCTAGACCAGCTGACACTTACTGAGATGCTTACAAGCCAGCCACTGCAGCAGTTGCTTTAATGGCTTGATCAGTACTCATAGTGAACCTGCGTGTGGACATGATTATTCCATTTCCAAGGAAGAAAATGGAGGTTTTTAAAATGTGCGATGCCCATGCCCAAGACCCTACAACTAAGGGAATTGGAGTCTATGTCTCTCTACATTCTGGTTAACTAACATATACCAGTATACAGGTAATGTTAAGGGCATCAGCCATATCTGGGATGTGTGCATTATTCTAGAAAAATCCTGTACGTTTTCCTAACGTATCCAAAACTGTGATGGACATTAAGATATGATCCTTTTTGAGTTGCAAATCAAAACAACGATGAAATATCATCTCACCCCAGTTAAGAATAGCAAAATTCAACAGAGCAGCAAACAACAAATTCTGACGAGGTTGTGGAGAAACTGGAACCCTTATTCACTGTTGGTGGGAGTGTAAAATGGTGCAACTACTATGGAAGGCAGTATGGTGCTTTCTCAGAAAGTTGGAAATAGAATAACCATTTGACCCAGCAGTTCCACTACTGGGACTATACCCTAAAGAAACCATAACTGCCACTCAAGCAGATATATGTACACCCATGTTTATTGTGGCTTTGTTCACAAACGAATGGCTCGAGAAGCTTTGTATAGTCACACAATGGAATACTATGATGCATTAAAAAACAAGGAACTCATGAAATATTATGCAAAATGGGTGACCCTGGAGGACATTATGCTGAGTGAAATGTCTCAGTCACAAAAGGACAAATACTGCATAGTGCCACTGTTGTAAAGTGGGTCTGACATCAGAGTTGGGGGAAAACTAAGAGGGGATAAATAATACATACTGCATTGAAACAGATGAGGGAAACATTGAAACTATTTAGGAGGACTATATGATTAGGTATTATTGTCGAATGAAAGCACATAGTGGAGTGGACTGGGGATGGAGGGTTTATAAAACAATGAAAGAATTTTTAAAATTTTTTTTATTTTACTTTTCAAAGAGAAAAGTGAACTGGTGGGGAGGGGTGGGCAGGTAGGAAAGTGTGCAACAATGGATGAATTGAAATAAAAAATATCTGTAAACTTTTATTAAAAAAAATATATAATAAAAAAATTTGGTCCTTTTTACTGTCAATCAGTTCAGTGCTTGGACCACAAGGAAAAGTGGGATGAATCTTAAACTTTTCTAACTTTGGAGAAAGACTTACTAGAGGATATAACATCTGAACTTGGAAGTGCTTAAGACAGGTGAGGCAGGAGGGAAAAGATGAGTCATTCACACAGAGAATGACAGGATCCACCTTGTACTGAGCACTCATCTTGATTCCAGAGACAAGCCTTGGCAAATCACATGCACTTCCTCATATAATGGAGGTGCCATGGATTACCTTCTTCATTTTAAAGATGAGGATGATGCCACAGCTCAGAAATGCTAAGTGACTTGGCAAAGGACGTACAAGTAGTGGGAGCTGGGATGGAATGAGATCTTTTAGTTACTTAGAGCCTTGTTGCTATCCCAAACTTTACTCACTGTAAAATGAGAAACAAGACCCCAGCCCTGTTTGCAAATTTCCCTCAATGTGAACCAAGAATGGGGCAATTACATCTTTCCTGCACTTACTCTTGACTGTGTCTCATTCACTTGCCCTCTATGGTAAGGAACTTGTCTGAAATGAAATAGAGTCCAAATGTTCTTACTAATCTGGGGTCTAGTTCAAAGGAGCATGATCAAATGATTGGGAAGCCAAAGTATTGTTTCCCTAGTGGAGCCAGATTATGCAGATTGATAACATCTTTCCTCAGCCTCTGCCTCATTGCTGGCTTTAAGTTAATCACAGAAGACCCAAGTTGATCTTTTTGGTACATCCAGGGTTTTAACTTACAAAAGCCTGTTGGGATAGTACTCTGATCTTCCTTTTCTTAGGAAAAAAAAAACCCCAAACAAACAAAACCCAACATTTTCAAGCCTTACCCTGAGCCATATTTCTGTCCAGCAACTAGATTAGCCAATTTATGAAATTTTGCAAATATTTTAGATGCAGACTCACACTTTGACCATTTAAAAGGAAAAAAAAGGCATATGGTTTCTATGAACTTCCCAGAACTATATTTTCTACATGAGATATTTTTAAGTGTAATTGAATTTCATAAATATGACAACATTTGGTAACACTTGAGCATGTTTTTGTTCCTTTGTTTATGGCAGCAAAATAATCTATTCCATATCTTTTTTTCAGAAACTTCTCGAACTCAACAACCTTCACTCTCTCATGTCTGTGGTGTCAGCATTACAAAGTGCACCCATCTTCAGGCTGACGAAAACCTGGGCTGTAAGTTAATCTCCCTAAATCTACTTTAACTCGGCTGTCATTTCACTGATGAAGTTCTTCAGTCCTTAAGTCCCAGAGGACTTTTCTCTGACTGTCTGCCCTTTGCCAGTGACAGAAGATTACTGTAGGCTAAAGAAATACTCCCTGGCATCCTCTTGAGTGCTTCAGTTATTACAAGAGTCCTTAGGGTGCTGACACATCATGTTGGAGGCTCTCTAGAGTGGACCCTCCTGGTCCCTCCAATGTTGTACGTGACAGCTGGGTCAGCGGTATGACATTTGCCCTCTACTTGTCTGGTATTCTTCTCTGGAAGACTCCACATCGCCCTTGGGAAGGTCTCTGGGTTGATGACTCACAGCTGCCCTAGGTCGTTGGCCATACAGTGAAAGAGTTTCTCTGGAGAAACCTGTGACCCTCATGGAGGGAAAGAGGATTTTTTTTCTTTTTCCCTCTGAAGGCCATGGATAATTTCAGCTTAGAGGTGGAGTCTGATAGTTATATAATTGAGTCTGTAGGAAAGTTTTTCTGCAGTAAAAATATTTTTAAAATATCTCAGGCCTCTTTGTCCTCCTGAGCTTGGCATAATGCCTGACATGGGGAAAGTAATTGCTATTTCCATTGCTCATTAGCATTCACCTCCTGGCCCAAGGTCTCCCACAGCCACACAGCCCGAGCCTTTCAAGACCTGTTTATGTCCCACACAACTGAAGGAAACTGTATGGAATTGTCAGCTGTGCTTCTGCAACTCATTTCCGAACTTTTTTTTTCTGCCAGCCTGTAGGGCTGGGTTGTTTCATACTTGGCTCATTCAGAAGCCTTTAAAATACTTAGGGATTGTATTGAAAGTGATCAGGAGGATTGAGCCTTGTTTGGTTAAAAGTCAGTTTTTCCATCGATCTAGCCCTAGCGAAGTGGAACAAGAAGTGTTAGCCTACAGTCAGAAAACTGGGTTTGCGTTCAGACACTGTTCAGGGAGTGACTTGCACTAGTCACCTTTCTTCTCTGGGACTCATTCTCCTATATTGCCTCAGACATTGGCTTCCATTGGTGGTTTCCGTCATTGCTTTGTGGAGTCTGAGGATTCCTTGGAGCTACGTTAGGAGCTGCCAGGGGCCGGAGGAAAGGGCTAAAAGGTGCCAAGCAGACAGCTTGGGCAGTGTTTCCCCAAGAGCACTTCTGTGTGTACAGTTTTATGTATTAGGCTTCTGAGTGAGTTTCAGGTGAGCACTGACTTTGAAAATTACTGGTCCCTGCAGCTGCTGCCAGCTTTGACTTTCCGTGAGCAGTGAGGATTTTTTTCAAAGATTGCTTAGATGGTTTTCCCATTAATTGAAATCTGTTATTGTTTCTTTGATTGCTGGGAACTACGTGAAGATCCTGAGGGATAAGTCTCAGATCTTCTCTTTTTTTTAAAAAGAAATTATTTTATACTGATTTATTTACAAAGTTCATATACATTGTTTCTCACACCTAATCTTTCCCATTTCCTTTACCCCTCTCCACCCATCAAATTTTGCGACCCTATGATTAACCCTTCCCCTCCAGCCTCATCCCTCTGCTCTTCTCTACCCGCCTTGGATCCTCATACTTATTCTATAATAACAATCTTATACAGTATTTGTCCTTATGGGACTGAGTTAGTTCACTTACCATAATGGTCTCCAGTCCCTCCCAAGTTAGGTGGTTGTTGTTATGTGCCGTCGAGTTCCTTGAGACTCATAGTGACCCTATGTACAACAACCCTAAACCCTGCTTTATCCTGTGCCAATTGTACTGCCTCTGACACACCCATCCCAATTACCCCAGTCACTGAATCAATCCACCTCATAGAGGGTCTTCCCCTCTTGTGCCATCCCTCCACCCTACCAAGCATGATGTCCCTCTCCAAGGACCTGTTCCTCCTTACAACACGTCCAAAGTATGTCAGATGAAGCCCCAGAATCCTTGCCTCCAAGGAACAGCCTGGTTTAACCCTCTCAAGGATGAATCTGTTTGTTTTCTTGGCAGTCCATGGTACATTCAATACTCTTCTCCAGCACCACAGCTCAAAGGCATCAATTCTCCTTCTGTCTTTCCTAGTTATTGTCTAACTCTCTCTGATGCGTAACAAGTGATTGCAAACACCGTGGCCTATATCAGACACACCTTATTCTCCAGAGAGACACCATTGCTCTTGAGTACTTTAGAGAGGTCCCTAACAGCAGACTTTCCCATCACAATACATTTTTTGATTTCCTGGCTACTGGTGCCAAGAGTGTTGACCATGGAGCCAAGCAAATTAAAGTTGTGAACAATCTCAATCTCTTCACCATCCATCCTGATGCTGCCAGTTGGTCCAGTGGTGAGAATCTTTGTCTTCTTGACATTGAGCCTCGAAGGCTGCAGTCCTTGACCCTCTGCAGCAGCAATTCAGGTCCTCCTCACTTTCAGCAAGCAGGGTTGTGTCATCCGCATAACGCAGATTGTTAATAGATCTTCCACCAATCCTGTCGCCACACTTCTCCTCATAGAGCCCAGCCTCTCGGATAATCTGTTCTGCATACAGGTTGAAAAGGTATGGAGATAGTACACATTCCTGGCGTACACCTTTCCCAATTTTGAACCATGCAGTGTTCCCTTGCTCTGTTCTGACGACTGCCTCTTGGTCCAAGTATAGGTTTCACATTAGCACGATCAAGTGTTCTGGGATTCCCATTCTTCTCAGAGTCAGCCACAGTTTGTTATGATCCACACAGTCAAATGCCTTTGCATAATCAATGAAACACAGATAGACATTCCTCTGGCATTCCCTGCTTTCAGCTAAGATCCATCAAACATTAGCTACAATATCCCTAGTACCACAACCCCTTCTAAACCCATCCTGGACTTCCGGCAGTTCTCTGCTGATGTGCTGTTCCAGTCGTTTTTGGATAATCTTCAGTAGACTCTTGCTTGCATGTGAAATCAACGATATTGTTCTATAGTTTCCACACTCTGTTGGGTCACCTTCTTTGGGATGGGAACAAATATAGATCTCTTCCAGTCAGTTGGCCATTGTTCTTCTTTGCTGCATAGTATTCCATCATGTGAATGTACCATAATTTCTCTATCCATTCGATTGTGTTTGGACATCTGGGCTGTTTCCATGTTCTTGCAGTGGCGAGTAACACTGCTGTGAACATTGGTGCACAAGTCTACAGCTCTGCCTCTCTTCTTTTTTTCTTAGGGTATATTCCAAGCAGTAAAATAACTGAGTTATATAGAATTTCTATGTTCAGCTTTTTGAAGAAGTGCCTAACTGCCTTCCAGAGTGGTTATACCATTTTACAATCCCACCAACCATGTAGAAAAGTTCCTGTCAGATCTTCTCTTAATGCATAGACCTTACTGTCAGCAGTATTGCAATTTTCAATGACTCTGATAAACTGTAGTCTGGATGAGTAGAAGTGTAACTTAGCACAAGGAGCAGAGGGTGTATAAGGGATCTGTTTGACAACAGGGCAGGGCCTACTGATAAATCTTTGGCAGGTGTTCTCCAAAGGATGCTATACTGTGCCCTGTCTGTAGAGCAGCATCTGGAAAGAGCACTAAACTCTAAAGACTGCTCTGTTTGATTTGACAAGCGCTCCAAGCTGGCTAAATCCTTACACTGTTGATGGGTTTTTGCTGCAATGAAAATTAATTTCTCACAGTTTCACCAAAACACTGGTAAGGATACCTACTCAGGATCCATTTGGAAACATAGTGCTCTTCACCTAATTCTGAGACCATATAGTTCAACTGTTCTTTATGGATTTGTCAAAATGAAAATATAGTAAAACCTGTTGAAGTCAGAATCTATATAAGGTGAAAATCTGTCTAAGAAGGAAAATAGAAATAATTTTCACTGAAATGAGTGACACAGAATAGTCAGAGTGCTCCTTATCAAAGTACAGACCTAGAAAAATTAGGAATCCCTGTTGACTTCTGGCTTTCACAGATTTCACTGTAACATATGCCAGGCATTATTCTAAAAGCTTTACATACATTAACCTCATTTTATCCTGGCACCTACCCATTAAGACATTTATGGATAGAGAAATGGAAGCACAGAAAGGTAAGATGATTTATGCAGCTTTCCACAGTTAATTTTCAGGATCTCAAGCTGTCTGGCTTTGGAAGCCATGTCTTTGTTCCCCCGTACTCCACTCATCTGCAAGAAATAAAGACAGTTCCAGCCAACCACTTGCCATTCAAAAAAGAGCACAGACCTGTTTATTACCCCCCCCTTTTTTTTTGCAAAGTGAGATGATAGGAAATTCAGAGATGAGGTCAGTAGACTCTGAGTGCCTCCCTAGAACTTTGAGCCTCTGACTTGGCTTTGGATATTGCTTGACTGGCACCTGATCCTTGAAGACCAGCAGAAAAGGAAGGTAGGTGAGGGCCCATCTGGGAGAGGACGTGCATCTGGTTAGTTAGAGAGCTGCATGCAGCCAGACCTTGAAGGCTGTTAGTCCTGAAAAACGCTGTTTCGCTACTTACTCCTTATTATTAGTCCAAGCCATGGCTTCTCTTGCTTCTTCAAGGCCTTGGATTGACTATTGCTTTTACTACCTTAGTGAACGTTTAGCTGGTGAAATCCAAGGAGATTGTGGGGAGCTGAGATTGTGTGTCATCAAAGAAAGAGGATCCATGACATCACATCTATAATTTTTTTCTGAGCAACTTCCCCATTGCTTCCTAAGGACTGTTTGCCTGATCACAGAGAAGCATGTACTAGGGCAGAAAGCAGATTGATATAACATTTCAGAAAATAAGTGTGGAAATTTCCAAATTGTTGTGTGAGGAAAGAGGAGGTTTGGCTTGATGTACACCATGTGAATTACAACTTGAGATCTCCTACTTCATTTGTTTCTTGGCACACTCACTGTTGAACCTTTGTTTCAGGCCCGGCTCTCACCCACCTGTCCTGTTAATCCAAGAAAGTGTTTGGCCCAGAGCATGTGGCAAATTGTTAGGTGCTTCTGAGTCAAGTACAACTC